AAGAGGTACATTCTCAACGTAAGTTACACCGTACGAGTCACGTATGAATATTTACGTATTATTTCTTAATGTTTATCAAAAGTTCAAAATCATTTTAAATACATTATTGACATACGAATAATATTATTTGCATTTATAATGTTAAACAATCGTTATCACCAAACCTTAATGCAGGCATTATTAAAGGCTAGAAAATTTGTTTAAATTAACAAATCTGCATTTAACTTGCTTCATCAACGTCACCTAGACAACGAGCGCCTGCATGCTGTTGTAAAGGACTAAAATTAATTAAATATTGCGTTTCTGGAAATATTCCAGGCATGCTATTGACTAACTTATGAGCTTAGATTACTTTTATATAGGAAAGAACCACTTTTATTTTTTGTATTTTACAAATAATTTATTTCTATCAGATAAAAGAATGCGCAGTTTTCTAGTAATACTTAACAGACGATTTTGAAGTGGATACAAAAATAACTGACTACATGGTCGGATAGTTGAAGCCATTTATTTTGCACGAAAGCGTAATTTGCTCGATCCAGGGATCCTGTGGTGTAAGCACCTAATTTTAAGCGTGTCTGGATGTTTGAAAATGTGCCGACAGTGAAATTCTTCGAACCCGTGGCGCTGAATGTCCACAAGAATGCAGACAATTTACGACCTTCAGATCGTAAACAAGGGGATGGCTAAACAGTAAACATACACCCAGACGCTGCAACACAGCGATAATATCCGTTGCTAAAATAAGACCAGCGTTTGAAGTTAGGCTAAAATCTAAAAAATTACCTAATGGATTTGGTCAACCAGTAGATAATTTTTTTAAAATTGTTTTAGCAAGCTGTTTTAGGTGATAATTTTCATTTTTGACATTTTAATTCTAAAAATTTCTGAAATTTAGCAGGCACTTCGCACGACGCAGAATGGGTTTTTATTATCGAATTTGCGCGGATTTAGACATTTAGACATATTTGACGTGCAACTATTCTTGTAGCATAAACCCATTAAATGAAAGAACTAATGCTACGCGTTGCTAAGTCAACAACAATGCATTAAAATAAAAAAAGAGCGTTCGCTTTAATTCAATAAAGACATAACAATCAAGGTACAGGGGAGACAAACACGTCGCCATAAACAGCCAATCAGAGCAGATCAGAGGAAGAGATGTCATTGGGTTACAAACTGACACTGCAGTTTTAAGTCCATTGTTTAGCAATACAGGGATCTCGAATTCTGTCCCTTGATTGGCTGGATTTAATGACTTCATGTTCAAAATTTGTAAGATCACAACCTTATTAGGCCATTATGGACAGGATTTCTGAAACGTTGTAAAAATTGGATCTTCTATTTAGCCTAAATTTGGTGTAGCACCTGGTCTGGTGTATTTATCAGACAAGGAAGAATCTACCTATGACAGTCACATGTTGTCGTTCCTGCCAAAAATGACCTTGAAACCATAAAAGTACATTTGACTGGTGCGATTGAGCTGGCAGACGATTGTCGAAAGCTGTCCACGTACTGGCGCAATCAAGCAAAGGTCAAACTGTGCGCTTCTGCGACTGAACACGACATGCACATTCCGAGTTAGTTTTCGCATTCTACGACATTTTTTCGGTTAGTTTTCATGCCTTAGACAGGCATTTCATTATATTTGTTTTTAAAATCGGAATAAACAAAATCTAAAATGATCTATTTAAAAGGGATTTCAAATTTTAAAGGAATGTGTCAGAGCAAATCGTCTTTATAAATTGAACTGTGTGTGTGTGATTTTGGTCGAGGGAAATTCATTCAAACACATGGAATTCAATTTTAAACTTTTTTTGTTTGTCAGAGAGCCAACAAATTAAAAAAAGTCAGCCTTAGCCTAAGCAAATGCTTGCTGTCTGGGTTTGTTTTCTATTTAGTCTTCCACAAGTGATGACAGTTTTTTTTATTTTAATTAAAAATAAACAAGAAAAAAGAATTTATTAATTCTTGGTATGCGAACTTTAGAAGCACCTCAAGAAATTGCGATCCCAGCTTTAGAAATCCGTCAAATTTTGAAAACCGAAATGCATATTTAGAAATTCCCTAATTTTATTGTTGACGGCTAAACAATTTTTGGTGACTCTATGCTTAATAATATTTGAATGGAATATTTAAGCCCATTAATCATTTCCGCTTGCCGTGTTTTGTTTTCTGCAATGTAACGTTGCACGTTGTGAGTGTATGCACTATTTAAGGCAGAAATTAATTTTAAAACTCCGTGTTTTGTTTTAATCATTGCTTATTGGTGCAAGTATGATGTAGAAAATTTGACAAATGCGCTTCTACATGTATTATTGATCTGGTTGTCGAACAGTAGCAAGGCAGTTACAGCAATAAATATCTACCATAAACTCATTCTTTAATATTCATTTATCATCTCCTGCATGTACTCAAGTCATTAAAGAGCAAAATATACCTCAGCGTGTCAGTAAATTTCCATTTCAGTCCATTCTCGACTGGTTTTTTTAAGATAAAATTCTTGTTCGTTTTTTATGTTTCCATATTAAGAATTTTGCTCACATTTTTAAGTTTTATGTTTTCTTTTAATCAGATCAGCTATATTTCCAAAGTTATTTTGCAAAAATTCTAGTGTATTAACTAACATTCACACGAGAATGGAAATGATTGGTTACACATTAGTAAAAATCGATCAAGATTGATGCCACTCTGATGGGATAATGTGAGAGATGTTCTGTGTTTGCGCGATGTCAGTTGACCGACACATTTGTCTAGTGTCGTCGTGGTGAAACCTGACGCCTTATCGATCAACTCAATTTTGACTGTTTGCGTGGATTTCAGTGTTGCTCGTACAACTTCTCACAAGGATATTTTTCCCCTTCCTCTCCCCGACAGACTAAAAATATCTTAGTTTTTGTCATAAACCGAGATTCCCCAAGATTGCTCATCGCCGGTTTTGTCATTATTTGCCTAACATCGATTTTTTTACGCTTTTTTACCGGGTCAAGGTCATCCTTGACTTGATTTAGTGCACACTTTTTAACAACTCACTCGCCCATTGGCTGAGGCGATCGGCGCTCTCTGCACGAGATCTGGTAGTTGTTTCGTATTAGCGTGGGAAGTTCGGTTCTAGCGTCAACAAGGGATCTGCTACCGTTATCTGAGTGGGTTTCCCTTGGTTACGGGCAAACGTAACACATCTTTTCTTGTACTGTAAAATCACGGGTCAGTTTGATCCGTTCTACCTACACGTCACAAACCCCATGTCTCAAGATACAATGTTCCACCAATCTGCTTTTACTAACCGAATGACCAAAATGTCGTCTGCCTGAATCTTTTGACGTGTTACTTACCGAATTAACTTACACACACCATTCGCCATTTTAAAGTCGGTTGACCTAATCTAACACTGGTTTCATGTGTGCAGTTTGCACTGGTTAAAATGACAAAGTGCAAATATTAGGTAGGTTTTGAAAGGGTAACGATCACTCAATTGATTATTTATCAAATGCTATTTATTGATAGCCCTCTTGAATCACATCGAAGGCAAATTTGGTCTGGTAATACATTCCATTTTTCATTGCGAATTTCGCTAAATCTCATACCAAGCAACACTACTAATTTAAAATGATATACCCATGTATTTACTGAATTTATGAAAAAATGCAGTGCGTTCAATGAAAAACGCTCTGCTTTCCTAATTTATTTTAACGCACATGAATTTCTGCAATTGAGCACATTTGAAAAGTTTGTTTGTCTAAGATGCTTTATCAGCCAATTTCACGTCATGATTCTCTGCTTTGTTTAAGTGTGGTCAGATATCAGCTGAACTATCGCAGCAATGATCCACTATGGTGTTGCGTTTGCCCGTAACAATAGAGAATGCCACTCAAATAACGGTACCAGATCCCTTGCTGAAAGCTAGAACCAACCTTCCCAGGCAAATAGCAGAACAAGACCAGAGCTCGAGTAGAGAGCTTTATTCATGTCAGCCACGTGCAGAGAAGAAGTGAAATCGAAAGTAATTTGAAAACTAATTCAAGTCAAGGTTGACCTTGACTTGATAGAAGCGTAAAAAAACAAATCTTAATAAAGTAATGTTAATAACATCAGAATCCAATCTTGGGGAATCGTGGATCCCCAACATATGGTAGTGTCGAAGGATGATTAAAATTATTTCCTCGTCCATCTCACAGAAGATTACCACGGCTTGTAAACATTCCAGTGCACTACAATACCGACTCTCGTTTTGATTTCTCGACATTATGTGCTACTAACAGGCAAAAGGCATATAAATTTAGTAAACATTTTTTAATCAAAAAAATGCAAATTAAGAACACGTGGATGCGAACATTCTCCGAAAACGAACAATTTCAGTCGGAAATTTGCAGGAACAAATAACCAAACAGTGACATTTTGTGTGGTACGCTTTTACATGGACTACAAAAGTTATTTTTGAAGTTGGCGCTTTGTTTAACTTCGTAAGCAACTTGGAAAGCTTGATTTAATTGGCACCGCCTTAAAACAATCTTAAAGGCAGGCCGTTTGTTTGTTTATCACTGAACTGTCTGCTTATGTCGGCAGTTCCAGCAAATTTCCTTAGCAAACAGTAAATCACCCAGTCATTTAGACATGGGGAACTGGATGTTATGAAGCCCACAGCACGAAGACACGAAATTAATCTTCACTTCAGACTACCTAAAATTAGCGTCGGTTTTACTATTGAACAATTTTTGTAACCCGATCCAGTCAGAAACTGACTGCACTGATTTTATCGATGAATGGGGACAGCCCACGCGTCTAATTGGCCAGTTTTGCACCAAGTTCACGTATAAAACTAGCCGCTGTCGCATAATTGCAGGCGGTGAAGGTAATTTACGCGGTACGTTTTCAAGTCAGTTTCCGACCCCTGTTAACTTTCTAGGGTTTTAAAAAGTTAAGGTTCCAGGTAGGGGTAGTCGACCAACACGTTATCGCATGCTTACTCTCTGTTTCAGACTACAAAGCAGCCAATCACGATGGTTGAAAGATGCGCGAAATGTGGTCAAGAGATTACCGGACAGGTGGTGATTGCCTTGGGCCAAAAGTGGCACCAGAGGTGCTTCGTGTGTCAAGGCTGTCACACAACACTTCAGGGAAAGCAGTTCGTCAACAAAGACGGTGAAGTCTACTGCATTGATTGTCGGAAGCAGAAATTCGACCCCAGGTGTCATGTGAGTCGTTTATCTAACATTAAAAATCTTATTCACTCATTGATACTTATTGATCAACGAGGTTTCATTTTGGATTCGGTATCTAGCGATTTTTCCCACGTGTGAACCAATCACATGACGTGTTGAAGGTTAGATCACTGATTGGCTGGTTATTTCAATTGACAGAAATGTCACCTGAAGATTGACCCTACCGTGAGGTATCCTATCGACGGCGACAGGAGCTTCCACAGAGAGTGCTTTGTCTGCTCCAAGTGTGGCACCTCACTAGACGGCAGACGATTCTGCATGAAGGACGACCAATACGTCTGCACCAATCACTAATTGGGCAAGGTGGATCACTTCGACAAAAATAATCAATTCGCCTTATCCCAGCCTCTCTATATCTTTCTGCTTGTTAGAATAAATTATTTTTGCGCTGTTATTCGGTTATTTTTTTGGATCCAACAAGAAAATCGAAAAAAATCATCTGCGTTAAAATTTGCAGTCAGCTAATTGTATTAAATTTAGCAGAGGTCTAATTAGTTCATTTAAACAAATTCCAATATATTTGCATCAAAACGCACGCATTAAAAAATAATTTTGCAACTAGATGTATTCAGAATTTATTGCCAAATTTAACTTCAGGTTGGTGACAGGGGGATTGCTAAAGTTAGCAAACAACTTTCCTTGACGGAACTATTTTTAATTTACAGGTATCAAAAGTCACCGTGACCTCAAAAGTTAATTTTATTGAAACAAATTGTGTGCAGGGTTAATTTTCAAAACGAAAATTGAAAAGTTTTAATTTTTATCTGCTCGCACAAAGAGTAATTGTTAAAACTGGGAAGAAGGGCATTCTAGCTCTGCATTCGGATCGTGTTTCTGCTCGGTGAACAATTTCAATGTGGGTATATTATGTGTGGACGTTATTCAAGCATTGATGTTGGGTTTGTGTGAAATGTATTGACAGCATTTGTCGGTACTGTCGCAAACGAATAATCTAATGTAATTTAAGGCCCTAAAGTAAATTATATATTTAAAAGAGCCCAAGATTTATGTTAGAAGGAATATTTTTATCCCGAAAAACTTATTTTTAAAATAGATATCAAATACTACCCAGTCTAAATTCTTTATTTTTACAAATTCCAAGGTTGGATTGATTTAATTTTGAATAACTTCGTTTTTTCTCCAGAATGCATGCAAATGAAATAAATTCTACTAATCACAGCTAAACCAATCAATCGTGCAAATGCATCCTTGTAACTGTTTTCTCGTTTCTGGTTGGCTGATATCTGCCAATCCAAATAATCTTGTAAATAAACGTCCACCAATCATCGATAAGTTTTGTGAGTGAGCTTGTGCATGCCCACACATTTCCTCAGTGTCAGCAATAAATTGTCTATTTTCACTGACAAATTTATTAAAAAGCCTTATTGCCATAATTTTTTATGAAACTTAAAACGTCATTGTAGTGATTACAACAAACATTATTGCAAATTGCAAATTACAAATTTAGGTTTGCACGATGTGTTTATGACTTTTTTTGATTTGGAAGGAAACATGCTGGGCCTTAGCAATAGGCTTGTGGATTTTAAACTGTCTGTTATCTGTCTGTTTACCCATATCTGTTGTGGATCGCGTTGATTCACTCTTGCTAATCCGATCACTGCAGTCTCCGACACAGGGTTCCACTTCAACTCCCCATCATTAGAACGAACATTTGCCTTGGCTTATCCTCATACCTAGGTCTCGATGTTAGCGCATATATGACTCACACATCCGAGGTATAAATACAAACGCGCAGATCCCCCACACGACACAACGACACCAACGTGGTTGAGCCCTGAAGCAAACGGTTGTGTCCACGTCCTCTCCGATCTTATTCTTCATCACGGGTTTCAGGGAAGCGCAATCGGGCCAGGGTTACTTCAGTGGTCACGGCGTGGTTCAAGACCACATCCTAAAGGCCTACAACAATTGGTGACCCCGACGTGATGAAAGGTACTCCAAATTCCACAATATATCCAAATTCCTTACAAGAAACAACTTCTCGCAAGCTCTCATCTTGTTAGATTACTTAATATTTGCCATCAGCTTACAAATTTACATCCTCAGTGCATTTGTTCATCTGTTTTGCTAAAATTATGATTTTAAGAAGGGATCAGGCTATCAAGATCCAATCGCGATATAAGAACATGCACAATTAAGATCACTCGTGCTGAGAAATGACCTCTTTAAAAAAATCTGATGCCAATGTCTGGCAAGTACACTCACCCAGTTACCTGTGACTTGGGTCACTTGGACAACAGGTTATGTAATTAGCGCATGCGAAATTAACTGAGCCAAAATTATTGATCAGTCAAAATAAGCATAGGAATTGGTGTGGGTCGACAATTACACTGAAATCGCATTTTCCTACGGCATTCCTGCCTCACTGATCACGATCAATAATCCTAATTGGGACCAACATCACACCAACCGTGATCCAATCGCTAATCGACACTAGTTTCGTGCAAAGTAGCGTCAGATTTCACGATTTAGAAACCCGATTCTTTTTCAGGAAGCACGACGAGGCTATGTTAGACATGCGACAGACTTGTATTTTCGTTATGTAAATTACTTTTTTCGGCAGAAGACACGGTGCATAAGTAATTTCGTCATTCAACTAGAGAAAAATACCTGCAGGACAAATTTTCACAAACCCAGACTAGATTAGGCGACGTTTGCCAAAATGGGATGAAAATTAACGTTGCAAAATCTGTTTTTTGTAAAATGGCTGGTGGCCAAAACCATATTGCGCTAAAGTTGATACAACGCGACCTTGAGCCTTGACTCGATCTTAACCAATCAGACACAAGGTCATTATTCGTGTAGAAATTAAAAGTAGTAGGGCGGAAAGGAAGGCGTCTGGCAAAATAATGCGGATACTGAATTCAGTTGAGATTTAAATGCCCCGCTTGAACAAAAATGTAGGCACTTTTGGCCTTAGAAAGGGGACATGTCTTTAAAAAAAACATTTCAAGCCAGCTTAAACAATAATTTGGTAAATGTCCGATTTTAAGTTGTGGATTCTGGAAAATCGAATTTCTTCTTTTTTGCCTTCAATTAAAGTGTAAGTTTGCACGCGATATAAATTTTGAGCGTAATGAAGGTGGCAACTTTCAAACCACCACAGATTTTAAAACATGAAACAGTCTTTAGGCTGACAATAATAATCGATATTTTTTATAAAAAAACGTTTTTTAAGGGGTCAGATGTGCAGCTTGTTTTGCTGAGTCAAACTAGGTTTAATCACCTTTCCAAGACCAACCAATGAAAATTCGCAATGGAAATTTTATTGATAGCATTGATGTCACACTAATTCTCCAGTACCGCGATTTGCACAATTCCAAAATATCACGGTCTACACGCAACAGACACAAAAGACGGTCGACCAATAGCAATAAACCTTCTGAAGAGAGACATGCTGCCAAGGTCATGCGATCCCATTGGTCACTTTCGTGTATTTAAGAGTCGAGAAATCAAGTGTACCAGGATTGCACTCCTCTGCCAAATTGCGATCGTAAGAAATCCTTTATTTTTATTCTGTCTCGTGGGTTTTACATAACTAATAGTTTCCTTGTTTTAATCGGTTGCTATTGACGACCCCTCAATCTAATTTTCAACAGATAAAAAGTCATGCTTGTTGACTAGCAAAAGGTGTTAATCTGGCATTTTCGCCTCTAGTAATCATGGTTGAAAAGTGCGCAAAATGCAAAAACGACATCACCGGGCCTGTGGTGACGGCGATGGACAAGAAATGGCACAACGACTGCTTCGTCTGCGGTGGCTGCAAGTCCAAGTTGGCCGGAAAAACCTTCCACAACAAAGACGGGACACCCTACTGCATTGAATGCCGGAAAGAGAAATTCGACCCCACGTGTGCTGTAAGTTGGACAGTCACTTCGAATCTGCTTGCCACGGCACGCGACCTGTGGTTGCCTGGGTTGGCCTAATTTTAAAACGTGTACTTCTTTAAACATTAATGACGCTGACGGTGCAGTTTTAGCCGTAAATACCCAGTTAGGAAATCACGAAAACATGATTTTCTAAAAAAAAAACAAGTTACACTATCCTGTCAAAAAGAAATTTTTTAACCTGTGGGTAAATCGGTTCACTATGAATCCGTAGATTGTGGATGGTGAAGTGAATGTCTGGAAGTAAACAAATTCTCTGGTTTGTAGAAGTGCTTCAAGAAAA